TTTTTCCCTATTTCAAGTGGAGATTTGTGTATCTCGTACACATTTATTTTTACGTTCTGCTAATTTTTGAGCTCGGATTATTCTATTAACTATCCTGCTACATTTTCCTGCTGCACTCAAAATTATCCTATCAAAAAAATATCGTGCGTTTATGAATGCATATATATAAACTATCATAAATCCGGATTTTTATTTTACAATTCTTAAAACAGTTAAGAGAAATGTTATATATATTCTGTATAGAAAAATTGCACAATGAAAAGTACATAGGCGAATTAACTTTCATGATCAACGTACGAATAGTACTGAATTTGAATTTATACAATATTTAAAATCTGTTTGTATTTAAAGTGAGATTTGAAATAAATTATAAACTAAATTGTATATTATATACTGAATTCGTAAATTAAATATATTATTTTGCTATCCATTCTTTTTATTTTTAGATAATGTAAAAGATGAAAATAATCGAGAGAGGAGAGAGAGAGAGAATATGGAAGACATAAAGAAAGAGGAAAGAAATAAAATCATTATATTATATGTATCCATCTCAATGAATGTAAATGAGAGAATTCAGAAACACGAAATAATCCCTTATTTTATGAATTCGACAGAATGCTCGCTTGCGCATACACGCAAATATATAGTATACGGTTGCTGAAATTAACCAAGCCTATAAACGAACAAAAGCTCATTGTTGTACGAGAGAAGGTAACTGTTCGATTTGGCTAGTAATATCAAATTTCTATTTGCGAAAATTTAAACGTCGAATCTTATCACAATACTCTTCATTGCAGTTAAATATTGAAATATGACATGATAGGCCAGATAATCCATAATGAAGAATAATAAAATGATTAATTTTTCTCGAACAGCTTTTTTCAACGAATGCACTTATCTATGGTTGATAATATGGATGGTGAGGAAAGAGGTAAGAGAAAATCAAGTAATACCTAGAATCATTTTTAAACGATTTAATTTTTTCATATTTTCTTTTCAAGCGAATAATGATTTATAATGCCATAAATTTTTTAAGTGGATTTCATACAAAAAGAAACACATGAATAAAATAGAATAAAAAAGAAGTATAAGGATAGTATGGAGATAAAAAAAGAAAAATAGAAATTAAAACAAGAATAAAAATAAAACAGGAAAGAGAAACAAAAGGATAGTAACGTACAACGAAAAATGTAGAACAAAAACTGAAGGATATCGAAATAATAAAAAAAAATATATATGTCTAGATAAATGGCTAGATAAGTTTAAATGGACGGATAGATCGACAGCTAGATAGAATGATAAACAACTTGATAAATCTTTTATTTTAGTAACAAAGATTAAAAATATGTAGTAATAGAAATAGAAAATAGAAAATAGAAAATAGAAAAAGAAGGAGGCGAAGTAGAGAATAGAAGCGAGAGAATGAGGAAGAAATTGTCGAGAGCAGTACTGCTAATATCCTGGGGGTGGTCATGGGATAGGGTGCACCTGCGCGTATGACAGATACGCCCCTGGCATAAAGGCGACATTTAGGTCACCGGCTTTTACCGCGGCAGACTGCACATGTAGACAGGTCTTACTAGTGATCGTTTTCACTACTAGCATCAACTCTTTTCTACAAAAAAATTCTTCTTATTAAAACCATTTATGACGATTACTCATTATTAAATTCATTATTAACAGAAAGATTTTTTCAATTATCCTTAAATTATTATGTTTAAATTTCATATCTATCTTTTACGAAATAATACACAATAATACGTTTATAATAAAATAATGAAATTTATTCTAGTTACATAGTTTTGATGAATATAATTATATTATGTCTAGCATACATAGCATATCTGTATAGTTATAAATAGAACATAAATAAAACAATGACATCAAACGCATATATAACAAAAAATTATATCATCAATCAGTTATTATTTAATTCTAATATATTTATCAAACTATATGATATTTACGTACTCGTAATGCAGGACATTTTAAGCAAATGTGAAAAGAAGAGAAAATTCTCCTTGTCTCTTTTTCTCTTACTCTCATCAAAATAGGTTAACCATTATTTATATATTTATCCATTCGATACGCAAGCCAATTATTACTGCACTTTACTGAATACGGAATAAATTACAGAAGAATAAATTGCATAAAGATCATTCAATAACTTTGATTATTTTCTATTTCTTTTTTCTTTATTTTATTATTGACAGTTTTCATTGTTAAATTTGAATAATACATGACAAAAATAATTTTATTAAACAATATGCAACACAAATGGATCAATATAGATTTAAAATATAAACATATTTTTTTTATTAAATATTATAACATTTTAAATTAAGCAAATTAAGATGATAAGAAAAATTATTTTTTATCATATCATAAAAATATATAATATCATAAAAAATGCATGATTTTTTTCTAAATAATGTTCTCTTTTAATTGAAATGTTCTTTGTCTTTATTAAATATAATTTACGATTTAATTTTTGTTTTAAACATACCTGCGTCTTCCAATAAAATAAATATTTCATTAATTTCTAAGCATCAACAACTTAAACAAATGTATTTATAGTGAATATATTATTAAACAGATTGATTCATTTTTCTCGAACAAAAATATTATATTTAAATCTTATATTTACACAATTTAATAAAACTTTATTTAACAATTTGCACTTCTTTAATATTATGACGATTATTCTGTCATCTGGCGACAAGTTTATCAAGCGACAATAATTTGACAATAGTGAACATATACCAAGACATGGTACAGAATGTAACAGGAGGAAAATTATCGTCCTGACGCCAATTCCGATCCTGACAAAGCTTTGTTGGCGACGTCAGTATATTCGGGCATCTGTAAGCTTAAGACACTTCCGGGACAAGGGTAACGACTGTTCCCGTATCTATATATGACACTAGGTAAATGTTCGTTGTACGAGTTGCCGCTTCAAGAGTGGAATTCGTCAAATCAACATAACCTCTTCTCCTTGAACGAAGTAACAAAATATAATTCCTTCTTCTAAAATGTTCCACAATATAGTTAAACGTATTAATAAAATGGGAATAAATATTAAAATTTCTGATTATCGCGGAAGTCTCAAGAGTTCGGTTTGATTATGATCGGTTACAAATTGTTCTCGTAGAAATCGTTTTACATCTCGTTCTCTCGAAGAACTGCTGATGTTTGAACAAAAAATTAATGCGGAAATCAACGATAAACATCGATTCAGAAAAAAGTTATAAACTTTATTATATTACTCAATTTTTTATGTAATTATCTGTAGTCATCAACAAATTAACAATCAAATATATTATTATCTGTTCTTCTATTCAATTTTTTGTTTTGAACGCCAAAAATAACTATATCGTTTGTTTTTTCAGTTTGTTGTAAATTTAAAAGAAAAATAAAACTGTCTGGGAAATACGAGTGGATGAAATAAGAAAATAAAAAAAAACAAAATTATCCAGTTTTTGTCAATATGTTGGTCTGATATTATTCACAGAGCTCTTTGAAAAAATCAACCGAATCAACAATGATAAATTTGAAGCGTAAAGCGAATAATCACGCGAATAGACAAAAACCGAATGGAAACAAAAGCACGCAAATGCGAGAGGAAAAAAATCACGATTCTTCTCTATCGGTTTCGGAACATTTAATTCAGAGATGCAGTGGGAAAGAGTGAGGAGGAAGGTTATTCATGGGAGCGAGCGAATTAATGCGAAAATTTAATGCAGCTGTCACGTGTCCAGCCGTTACTAAATCTACGTATAACGTCATTAAATCGGCGAAATCGGCGCTGCCATGACTCTACACGCGTTTTGTTTCACCTCGTCCACACAGGCCGTATTGTAACGTGTGACCCGTTTTGCACTCACTAATTGTAATAATTTTCTGACTCTCGAGTGTACCATAAAAGCGTCAAAAGGATGCGGACAACCGTTCGAATTACGAGGTTATATAGGTCGTTTCATAGGTTTGGTATACAGGATCGATCATCCAATTGAGAGGTTTATAAAAAAAAAAAGAAAAATATGAAATACAAATAATTTGACGAATATATGTACTTACGTATTCTATGGTGTCGAACAGATTGTGAATCTGCATGTCAACAATCGACATATAACCTCAAAAGGGAACAATTTTTTTTTATATCGTTAACTATTTGTACTATTGGCACAATGATGAATCAATATCTCTCATTTTTTTTATTTTTGTCAAACTTTCATTGAACTTTATTTAAATGAAAAAAGTGTCTTTGGTAAATAGAAATTATTATTGAACGCAGTCTTATTAAAAGAAAAAATTCATTTAAATGAATTGATAATGAAACAATTATTTTCCATTCATTATATTATTAGAAGTTTGTTTTTTTTTTTTTTAGATCAATATGAATTTGCACCGATAGCTCAAAAACTTCCGAGTCTTACAGCGAACTTTTCCATAAATTACATAGAGGAGAATATGGATATACTAAAAAGCAGGTAACAAATATATTCTCTGCGATATTTAGAATCTGGAGAACACAAGTATATATATTATAAATATATATTATAATCTTATGAAGATTGCTAATTCGCTCGATTCGGTAGAATTTGAAAATAATTTAATTAGAAAATCTTGTTTCCAGGAATTTTACATGTTGCTCTTTGCCATAAGTAAATACTAAACATGCTATTACGTAGATACTTATCTTGGATAAAACTAGCACGAATTTGATTATTTCAAAACTTAAAATCAACTATTATCTCACCTGATTTTATCTGATTCGAGGGAGTCGAATACCTAACCTCTTTAAATATTATATTTCATAGAATTAAGAGCTTCTCTTCTTTCTAATATTAATTCTCATATTAATCATGATTAATTTAAACTTGATAATTAAGATATTACTGTAACAAAACGTGATATCTTAGCTTCTGGTATTATTAATTAAAAACACATGATCAACTCGAGCGAAATGATTTTAAAAACGTGCAATTTTCTTTTTCAGCAAAGTAGAAGAGCGCTAATTTCCGATCACGTGGTCGAACAATTCTCCCGAGGAATATTTTCAACCGGTCCTGATGGGAGAAAGTCTGTTCCATTGTTGGAGAATTTTAAAGGTATAATGGAATCTATCGGTAGCTCGTTATTATCTCACCGAGGCGAAATTCAATCGAGCCACCCCTTCATCTCTTGGTTCTCCCCTCTGTGTTCGAACTATGACTTCGGTTTCGGTCAATATTCTGAGTAATCTTCTTCGATGGTTCGCCAATTACGTGAGAGAGAAAAATATATAATTCCATATGGAACAGAAAACCACAAACTCGTTGGTAATTTACTAGCTTTCTTATTTACTATACACAGTTCGGAAGATGATATGGGAAGAGCAATAGAGAAAATTGGTTGATTTCCTACATAGAACACCAACCACTAGTCGAGAAATTAGATTAACAGATTAGCGAACGCTGTGGTCTGATATATGATCTCTCTCGTTCCCTTTCCCCTCCCTCCTCTCTCCTTGTCATTTTATTTTTACATTCCAATTCCATTCCAGTTTCCTCGCTCGAAATTGTAATTGTAATAATTTCTACGCGCGGATGCGTAATACTCTCGAGGGCCAACGTTCGAGTCGCGTAATTAAATTTGTGTTAAACAATTTAATCGCGTAAAATTCGTGCACGACTTGAGAGTATATATATATTGGAGAAAAGAATCGTACAACTAATTTTGAATTGATTTTAGGGAAAAAATAATGAAGGATATATAAAATGTGTGGAATTTCGAGGAAAGATAATTCATCAATAATAATTCATATTAAATTTTTATTATTAATTTTAATTACTCACTCTTTTTAATTAAACGAATTTAAATTTCAGATGACAAGGATAAAAGAAGAGGATCTGTTTATCGATCAGCAGTCAAACATATTTTCAAACCGAACTTTCCGACAATTTATTACATCGATCAGTCTTGGGAATCTCGAGGAATCATAGCTTCAACCTGCTCGAATGGAAAGTCGTCTGCAAAATGTATTCCCTCTCCTCGATACAGTCCATATGCAAACGACGATGCAGTTTGTTTGAATCTGTTCTATCCAAACAGCTGCACCGTGTACTCATTGAAACTATACACCCACGTAAATGTATGTATGCATACAGAATCCCAGAGGTGCACGGTAGTATGGAATCGGTCGACTCTCTTATCCAAGAAGGGAAAGGCAAAACACCGTGAGAGGATACATATGTTCGGTGCAAGCGGCCGGTAATCGATCATGGAAATCCCGTAAAAAGTAGCAGGGATGTCTGGCCCATCGGTCTCCGAGTGTCAAACGAGAATTAATAGTTCGCCAGAGTAATGTACAATGTGTACCAGACCGGTTGGTACACGATGAATAAAGATGAGGCCGATGGACGAATCGCTTCATCGATGTTGAAGAAACAAGGGAGAAAAAAATGGAGGTGGCGTACAGTGCAGAGGAGAAGAAAGACGGGAGGAACGGGAGGCATAGGGATAGGTGGGTGGAGGGAAATACGTTGGCCGAAAAAGGGTAGAAAAAGAAATTAATAATCGGGGCGGGTCACACGATGGTTGTGGCCGTGAGGCCGGGGATAGAGGGGATGGAAAATTTAACCTGACCTTTTTGAAATTCTAATTTCGTTGAAAGCACTTCGAAGCAAGCGGATTTTCATTTTTCCTCCTCTCCCTCCCCCTTTGCGGTCTTTCTTCTTTTTCTTCTCTTTTTGCACCCTGTTTCCTCCTTTTTTTTTTTTTTTTTTTTTTT